TTTGGGGCACCGGGGGGGGGGGGGCAGCCAGAGCAGCATGTTTGCATACACTCCACAATGTATGCAGTGCACGCACCTGCAGCCCCCTCTCTGGCCAGGGCGCCCCAGGTTGCTAAGAGTTGGGTGGTGAGGTGTGTACGGGCCATGCACATCTCCCCGCCCACCTCTTACTAACCTGGGACACTCTGGCTGATGTCCTGGCAACAAGCCGGAGCCTCCTGGGTTGCTAAGAGCCAGGCGGGGAGATGCAGAGGGTGGCGTCACTCTGTCTGGCGGCACTGTCTCCTTTACCCAATTCCCATTGCTCTGATTGCGTGCCTTCAAAAAGGCTAGGGACAGCACTGCTTGTAAGGTTAGCTTTGCTGGTCTTTCTAGTTTACATCACTTGAGAGGGGAAGTGCAGGAAGGAAAGAGGTCAGCGTTTTCTTAAGGTACAATCGCAGTTGAGACAGGTTTTCCAACTCTGATTGGCATTTTCCCCAACAGACCCATCTGTGCTCAGCCAGAGGCATGACTGATGCCCAATCTGTATGAAACTGGATGACAGCCATTTCTTCCATATAGGTCCCTTCAAGGTTTGAAAAAGAAGATGGCACAAAGGTCACACTACCTCTTGGCATTGTTTACTATGAGACACTCAAAAATATACACAGGGTTTAGTTCATAAGTAAAACAGAGACGTAATCCAAAAGAACCAATGACAGACATGTTTCATTGACCTGTCTTCAGTAAACCAATCTAATCTGGTTAGGAATCTCTTCTGCACGTTCACATTATGATACAAGTCTTTAGAAGGGTTTTGATTGGCAGTGGTGCTGGATCTGATCTGGAATGTCTTGGGTCCTGAACAGGTGGCGAGCAGCAGGTTTAGTAGTGTCAATACAGCTGTTAGGCTGCTCCTTCTAGCCATCGAGGGGCCTTGGGTGAAGACTTGAAGTATGGAAGGAAAGAAATGCCAACATTGTGTTATGGTTAACTGGTTTGGTGAAAATAATCATATTACAGAACACTGGATTGATTTCACTGAATGGTGACTGTGATAACAGAAATGCAGACACTAATGGGGGAATTTATCAAAACTGGAGCAGACAGAATCAGGAGCAGCTGTACATGACAACCAATCGGCTCCTCACTTTCATTTTTCAAAGCTTAACTTAACAAACTGAAGACAGAAGCTGATTGGTTGTCATGGAAAACTGCTCCAGTTTTGATAAATTCCCCTCCTAGACTTTTGTTGCAGCAGCTCAGTGACGTGCGGTACCTCATATCCCGGGTGAAGCATTCCCCTGCTCTGCCCCCCCAAACCCCACCCTCTGCGGGACGATGCCCCACCCCCCAACCCGTCCCCAAGCTAATGTGAAGGAGGAAGGAAGCCTCCCGGTCCCTCACTAACTACCTGTCAAACACCAGATGCAGCGCTGCCTGTAATTAACAGCTTCAGACTTGAAGCGGATAGCTTTTTCCTCCATAATACTAGGTGAGGCTCTGCCTCCCCTGACCGCACGTCCCTACAGCAGCTGCACTCGAGTCGAGTTAAAGTGACACTAAATTCAGGAGTCAAAGCTTAAAATTGCATTCAAGTACCTTAACTATTAAAAAAAATTTTGTTTATTTGTGTATCCCTCGGCTGTAGATCCTCAAATCATCTGTGAATTGGTGCTGACGCTGTCCTTCCTTCTGGAGGGTGGCTACTTTTGATCTCTGTGGTGCCTGTGTGTTGTAACGTAGCCACCATTTAAAGTTCTCTCCAGTGATAGACTACAATCTCTTGTTTAGTTGACTAACTTGTACTAAGCTTGTAGTCCATCACAGGAGTGAGTGTTAATAGTTAAGGTACTTGAATGCATTTTTAAGATTTAACTTCTGACTTTAGTGTCACGTTAATCTAGACTAGTAAAATGGCAAAATAAAATATGTTCAAGTATTTGCCGTTTCCTTGTAAGAATCGGCTCCAACACCAGCAAGCAACCTGTAAAATTAAATATAAAGTATTTTACCTAATTATAAGCAAACCTTTATATGCTTGGCGTACCCAAATACATTTGATTATAATTTGGGGCGTACAGCTGGAAGCAACCATGCCTATCATTGAATAGAGTTATAAATCAAGGAACACTGCCCTGGCATCTTATCTACCAGGGGTTTACAATAAATGAGGAAGAAGGACTGTATGAGTATGTCAGTCAATGAAGTTTACCGGTAAGATCTATTGTGTACATATCCGTGATCAAATGATCATTTTACCAAACCCAAGAGGACTTCAATCCTAAAAAACAGCAACTTTAGTAGACCGAACAGCAGAGTGAGCCAAAGAACATCGGAGACCAAACAAGTCCCTGGGATGGGGGGACCTCAGAGGGAGGCAGAAGATCAAGGGGGAGGAGAAGGACAAAACAAGTCCAAACTGCCCCAAATGCAAGATTGCAATTAAACCAAAAGACAGACCTCCCCGATGCATTCATGGCACCTCTGCGGTCCCCACCCCATCCCAGGGACTTGTTTGGTCTCCAATGTTGTCCAGCTCATTCTGCTGTTCGATCTACTAAAGTTGCAGTTTTTTAGGATTGAAGTCCTCTTGAAGGAGCTGCCAATGCGGCGAAACATGTTGAGGCACCTAAGAGCAACTATCATGTTGCAACAGATCTACAACCAACTACCAGATTACTGCAACACAATCTGTATTGTATGATATATGGACACAGCCTCAATTGTATATGATAAATATATTGTAACAATATTTTGAGAATTAAATTAAAAATATTTTTTATATTTTACCAAGTTTCCAATGAGAGCTATGTTTTCTTGAAAGCCCCCCCCTCTCCCAAGCGCCTGCATACTTGGGTTTGGTAAAATGATCATTTGATCTCGGATTTGTATACTATTTATTGGGATGTTAAACAACGCTCTCACTCCTACTATGCATCGATAATTGTAATCTAGGATCTATTGTGTGTGTGTGTGTGTGTATATAGCGTACTAATGTTTATCTATACCATTGTACACATGTTTACCAGTACTTATTTGATTTCTTGTAAAATATGAAGATGTAAACATTACAAAAAAAAAGGTCTATTAAAAAGTAACATATACCTTTTTTATTTTTCATTCAGACTGTGCTCAGAATTACAGTCCTCGGCATATGGGATTATATTGAAAACAAGGTTGAGGTGAGTATTTCTGCTTTTCTTTTGTCTTGGTAAAGTACATATAAACTCTAACTGAATGACACTTAGGTCCCTTTCACGCGCTCTGATCAGGAGGGGATCCGTGCACAAATGCCCTCCTGAGTGACATATATGTCACTGTTGTGACATCCGTTTCTGTGCAGTTTTTTCCTCCATCTTGCGAAGGAGCAGTCCTGAGGTCCTAAAGCCACTTCCTTGCACATGCTGCTGCACATAATTTCTCAGGGCGGGTTCCTTATGGTGAAAAGCATGGTTCATATGTTTTCAATGTCTATTAGGGATTTCGGTATCAAGTACGAGTAACTATATTTATCTTCCGGTACTCGTGGATACCGAGTACCCACACCAGTACTTCTGGTAGCATGGAGTCGGCTTCCCGGGCAATCAGGAACCCGGGCGGCGTATCATTATCGGCTCAATGCTGTTTGGCTGGTTCCATGCTGATTGGCCGGGAGGAAGCCAGCTACCTGGCCAATCAACACTGAGGCGGGTAAACAGCATTGAGCCGGCCAATCCGGAAGCCGAGCGGTGAGTCATTACCCGTCGTCCGGGTTTTGGATTGGTCGGGTTGCCGGCTCCATGTTCCCTCAGGGCTCTGCCAGTCAGGGGAAATCATCTACTAAATACTACTATCGGTATCCGTGCATCCCTAAGGTTTATCAGCACATTTGTTTGCAGTCTCCATTGAGATAATGTATGGCAGGGTGGCAATGCAGGGAAATAATTGGGTTTCACCCTATAACTGTGCAAGAACTTTATGGCAGGATCACTAGAGATTGCCCAAATCCTAATCAAGTATTTTTTGATCCATTCAGCAGAACAAATATCCGATTACCTGGCAAGGGTTTTAGAACATAGGTTCCTTATTTGTTTGGCATAATTTTCTGACTAAAAAACTTCCTGATGCACCAAAAACAGGCCTGTTATTCTGTTATAATCCAATGCTTTGTATTCCTATATCATCTCTCTTTTGTTATTGTGTTCCTCTGTGTGTCTGACAGGTACTGGACGGGGCTGTCATTATTCTCTCTCTAGCTCCTATGGTTGCTTCCACTGTGGCCAATGGACCGAGTAGTCCGTGGGATGCCATCAGTCTCTTCATTTCTCTGAGGATTTGGAGAGTAAAGAGAATTATTGATGGTGAGTCGGGTTTACCTGCTATGCTGTACTATCCATAAGTAGTGGATTACATGTGGTAAGTCCCCATATGAAGGATACATGCAATCATCATTACAATTTTTAGTGTTTCCTTTTTATTATTACTTATTTTAGACACAAATACTTTATGTTTTTTCTTTAAGTGTCAAGCAGTAAAAAAGTTGGATCTTTTTAAAAATGCTCCAGTTAGTAAAACGTACACATGTTCTTTTTCCTGTTTTCTGCAGCTTTCATCTTACCTGTGAAAGTAGAAATGGAGGTTGTGGTGCAGCAGTATGAGAAAGCCAAACTCATCCAGGAGGAGCAGCTGGACAGGCTAACACAGATGTGTCAAGAGCAAGCGGTCAGTTGAGACTCTTGAAATGGCAGTTTCCAGGTTCTTACAGTGAAAGATGTGCAGCAAGTGACATCCTAGATTTTCTTTGAAGCTGAACTCCAGGCAGATATGATACACAAATAATGCAGCTATGTATAGATGAGTACACTATTATTATTTTTTCATTAATGCAAGCAATAAAAGTACCTCATTTTGCTTTGGTATCAGACTCTTGCAGTCTGTTCAGACTTGGGAGAGGGAGAAGAAGCACAATAACAGTTAACTGTGCTGTCAGAAGAAGATAGCAAAACTCACCAGTGTGCTGCTTCTCCCTTCACAGGCTGGGATGGGGAAGACCTGTAATTCTTCAATAGCTACAGCAGAGGAAAATCAGGTCTCCTTCTTTACAAGGCAGGCTGTCCTGCGTGGCAGAGCCGTGTAAATACAAGGGCTGAATTGAAAGAAATACATATATGGGAGATGTTTTACCTGCCAAACGATTTGTATTTCATTTTGTGTATTTAGCTGTTTACCTGGAGTTCAGCTTTAACCCTTTCGCTGCCAAGGCTTTTTTTTTTTTGCACAAATGTTATAATCCACATTTTAGGTCTGAAAATTATTTCAAACCCCCAAAACTTTATATGTTCTGAAAGCAAAGACCCTGTAGAATGAAATGTCGGCAGTTGCAAATTTTTTACTTTGCACGATCTTAGCGCTCTTTATCAAACCCCAAATTTTAGTACACTTAAAGTGACATTAAAGTCTTTTTTTTTTTTTTATCTTTCCTTGCATATATCTACTGCTAGCAAGCAGTAGATATATGCAATAACATTTAAAAAAAAGACAAAAAAAGCTGGCAAAGAGCTAAAAACTGGCCTTTGTCTGTGCCCCTTGCTTCCCGAACGCCTGTGGAGGAGGAAGTGTGTGCTGGCGCATGCGCAGTTGAAATCACCGGTGGGGAGAGGAGGAGAGACACGGTCTAAGTGAATGCACGCAGCCAGTAGTGTGCACGCCTGACAGTCTGCGTGGGACGCAAAAAGACATCGGGATCTACGCTGGATCAGAGAGCAGCACGGGGGACTGTTAACAACGAGTGGAAGGAAGATGATGATCGCATCAAGAGGCATCACATAAGGTAAGTCCTTAAAGCAGCATTGAGGGGGTAAAATTGTGCCTCTAATGTCACTTTAAGTTAACTTTGGTGCACAAAAAGAAAATATAATACCCAATTGTTTTGTAAAATATAAAAGAAGAGGTTATGACGAGCAGATAGCTACCCAACATGCCCAGGTTAAAAAGTTGGCGGAAAAATACGGTACCCCAAATTGTCCATAGCCGACGCTTTAAAAGCCTGCACAGGTCATCAGTTTAGAGATATCCGTGAATACTTGTCCTAGATATATTGCTCTCACTCGCACGCAGTGATACATGGCATGTGTAGCGTGATTGTCGTTTCCCTACGTAGGCGCACCAGATGCGTGTTTTTAGGATGAGATGCACAGCGCAACAGAAAATCACCAGCACACACTTGATATAGCTGCAATCTGCTTCATGTACTTTATTCAAACATCACATTATGCCAAGTATGCTAACGTTTCAGGACCCTTCATTAGAGCGGCACAGTGGTGAAGGGTCCCTGCCTGGTCCCAAAACGTTAGCATACTTGGCATAATGTGACGTTTGAATAAAGTACACGAAGCAGATCGCAGCTATATCAAGTGTGTGCTGGTGATTATTTTGTTACACTTTGGAGTTCCGCACGGCGCCATCTGTGATATTGCTAAGAGCGCCACCATTGTCCCAAAAGGTTGCAAAGCTGTAAGGTGTGCAGGTGACCCGTGGTATCATTATGTTAATATGCACACGCTCGCGGGGGAAACTTCTAAAAATTAAATAAATGTAAAAAATCTTTTATTTTTAAACTTCATTGCTATCACATAAGGGGACCCACAAGCCCCCTATGTGATAGAATACTAGTGGTGACATGTGCACTTTATGGTGAAATTTGGGGTCTTTTAGACCCTAGTGTCACCTTTCCACTCTAAATAAGCTAATGGGGCGCAGATCACCCCGACATCTGCAGCCAGGGAATGTCAGTTTAGGGACGGGAAATGATGCAATCAGCATCACTTCCAGCCCCCTTCAGCAGGGAGGAGATCGTCAAACAAATGTTCGCTGGTCTACTTCCCTGCTTCTCACCAACACCTGTTTCCTGCGGAGTCCAGGAAACAAGGCGGCGTGGGGGGGGTTCACACTACACCAAAATTCTTCTTTACATACCTGAAGAAGGCAGTCTGGTCCTACACAATACAGCAGGTAGACAGTGAAGACGTCCTTTCCTTTTCTTTGCAGCCACTATGGCTGTCCTTTGTGCAGATGTTTTTGTTTTGATGTAAGGCACACCATGCCTTGGCTTGCTTCACAAGTTACTGCCTGGCTAGTTTTGCAATCACTTAGTTTGTCAATAATTATGTCTCTGTTTTCCAAGGAGTCATTATATAAATGCAGAGAGCCCAACCTTGGCATACCAACCACAAAGGCCATGGCCTTGCAGGCCAACGGAGATCCCCATAATAGCTTGGCTGGGAGAGGTGAAATAAAGTTTTTTTTCATGCCTTATTTTATTTTCTCTGTCAGTACTGGGAATTCATACATCACTTTTTTTCCAATCTTTTGCACGACCTCGCTATTTTTCTCTTTTACTCAGTATAATCTTGCTAATCACTTTTCTTTCTAAAAATAAATGAAAACTTACTAATTTGTCCAGCTTGCTTTTTGTCCTGTTTTGTTTTACCCCCTTATTATATTTCTATATATCTTTCCTTTTATCTTTATAATGTTTTACTGCTGCATTAAATATTTATCTTGTTAGTAATATTTTACAAAATCTGTCAACTGCACCGAATAACACAACCCAAGCTCTCTAGTACAGTAGAAGTTTTTTTATGCATTATTATTAGGTTTCTTTTTCCTTTTTGCTGGCATTGCGAGGTCCTGAAATACTTGGGAATTTATTTGCTGACCTATCTAGAACTGCTTTTTGACCTTAATTATAAACCAATGCTTTCCCTTTCCTCTCTAAGGCCTCATTCACACGAGAAAAAGACGGCACGTACAGCTCCATGCTGCGTGCACGGCCGTATCGGGCAGCTCTTGCGTGTGATTAGTATGCAGCTCCTGTCCTTCTCTATGGGAGTACGCGGCCATACCATGCCCTACGCTCACCTACCCTGCGGGTGTCTGTACTCGTACGTTAACAGGATGGATCCTATGCATCCGAGCCAGGGCACCCGTACGGACCTGCATTTGGGGTGGGCGTTGGGCGACGTACGGCCGCATACTCCTATAGAGAAGGACATGGGCTGCGTAGTAATCATACGCAGTCCCTCCCGGGAGCTGCCCAATGTGGCCGTGCACGGAGCTGTATGTGCCAGCTTTTTCTCGTGTGAATGAGACCTAAAACTTAAAGGATAATTAAACCCTGTGGAATTTTTTGCATGTATCTACTGCTAGTAAGCAGTAGATAGATGCAAAAACATTAAAAAAGGTTAAAACTTACCTGTGTCTCCGTCCGCGCACTGCGGTTCGAAGTTCTGAAGAGTCTCGGGCGACAGCAAAGGATCATGGGGCGGGCGCATGCGCAGTAAAGATCTTCGGGTGGGAGAAGAGAAGAGAGATACAGGGTAAGTCTATGTACGCAGCCTAGCAGCGTGCAGCCGCACAGACACCGCGGGACACAGAAGACACAGCAGTCAGCGCTGGATCAGGGACCGGCACCAGCGCTGGAGGGACTCCTGAAAATTACTGTAAAGAAGAAGATGATGATCGGATGAAGAGGCATCATTTAAGAGGGGGTACGAAAAAAATGAGACCTTTTTATCACTTTAAAGAGTGGTGTTCCAAGTCCCCCTCCTTGTAAGGTAGGATGGCACTGTATAAAATGGATATGTTATCGTGTCTATTGTACATTTTTCAGACAGTTCCCATCCCAGTGCCCAAGGTGTCTTTTTGCACATTGCAGAACAGTTTACTTTGCTATATTTGGAAGGGTGTTTCCACACGACTTTGTTACGATGCTCTGATCCGCTCTATAGTTGGGCGGAGTTGGGCTTCCCCATGAGGAACTTTACTACTTGGTGTCTCCGCTTACGAGAAATTTTTACACAATTCATAATGCTGCTCATAAGTGATGGATCATTCTGGAGGCGGCCTTTTCCCCTATATCCTTGACCTCCTTGCCTTGGGTTGTGCCCCCTGCCGACCGCCTCATGAACGTTTTCCATTTTGCGTGCTGGCCTTGCTTAGAGCATGTGATGCCCTTCAGTCCTGCAATATTTCTGTGTATACTGGGCCTTCGACTCCAGTTCTGTGGAACCTGAGCTTCCCCCCGGGCCTGTCCCAACATATACTGTTTGTTTGGACTTCCTCCAAACTTTCTCCTATAAAGCATGCATTGACCTCTGCTGGCATGAAGCCCTTGCTGTCCTTGGTTGAAAATGATGGACCCCCCTTCAGGTAGCTGGCTAATGTACTTTCAGCTCCAGGACTTTTATATGCACTTGCAAAGGCACCTACTTACTCCATCTCCATTCTTTACAAACTGTTGCTCTCCATGTTTTACCCAGTGTATCCCTGGTACATGTCTGCTTGGGAGAGGGAGCTTGGGTGACATTTCTCTGATTTATTTATTATCTGGTTATCAATTGCTAGTACACTGCAGGAGAGATGTCAATATATTATCTTGATGGTATAGATGTCCCTACACCATCCATAGGATTTTTCCTAGCTGCTTTGATGTTTGCTGGGGCTGTGGGGATGGTGACCCTTATCTGGTTGGATTACCCAGGCCTTGTGCCCTTTTGGAACATTGTGTTTGATACTTACCATGCAGTGATGTCCTTAGATCTGTCTCGCACTCTGCCTTACTATTGTATCCTTGATCCCAGGTCCCCTCTCCTAGGTTAAGAAGGGCCTCCTACACTATTTTACCATCGCAGCCAAAGCAGTAATACTGCGACATTGGAAATCACAATCTATACCTTCAGTGCAGGAATGGGTTGCAGAGCTTAATCAATGTATGCGCATGGAGGAGTTGACGGCTCAGTTGTAGCAATTCTTTTATATTATGGTCTGCCTTGATCCTATTTCTGGATAGTCCACGCTTTGGGCAACTCTCTATGTAGTGGGGTCCTGGGTTCTCCCTAGCCCCACTAAGTTCAGTAGTGGGGGTACCCTTGGGACTTCTTGAGGGTTTTTTTGCTCCTCTTGCTTTCTTTTTCTCCATCTTCCTCTCTCTCGTTTCCTTTTTCATTTTTTTACCTTTCTCACTTTCTTCTATTCTTTATATTTCTCCTCATTTGCTCTTGAACGCTTGAGGAGTTAGTTTCATAGTGGCACAGCCAGTGTAACCGTAGACTAGACCATGTTACGGAGTCTGTGGTGCGCCGGCGCCCTCTTGGACCTTTATCATTGTAGTTTGATGGGGTTGATCAGCTGCAGGGGGCTCACCCTTTACAATCTTTGTGCCATGATCACACGTTGCTTATGTGGTTGTTATTTTGGTTTATACTTCCATGCTGTTGTTGAGTTTCACCATTGTATTCTGTGCCTGGGAGTGTTCTTTCTATCCTCATTGCTTTGTCTGTACTGTTTTATTTTGATTATTAATAAAATATTAATATTTAAAAAAATAAAAAGTATAGAAATGTTTAGGTAGGCTGGCAGTGACATATGTTGGCAGGGGGCAGAACATGAATACATGAGTTGTTGGCTGGTACTGTGTTCCATGAAGCTAAAGTTCTGACACTGTCATGCTCAGGATCTTCATGTTAAAGCATCTGGCAGAAGAAACATTGCTAAAACAAACACTGGGATGCACAGAAATTGAAACAATTTTATGTTTAGGCGTGTGTGTGTGTGTGTGTGTGTGTGTGTGTCAAATGACACTGAAATGCAAATGCCATCACTTTGCTTTTCGAACACTAGATGGCAGTAATTGTATTTTTTCCAACCAAATCCAGAACTTCAATCTTTCAGCACAAAATCTCATTCTGCCATAACCAAATCTTCTTCACCATTGTATATTCTGCCATGACCAAATCTTCTTCACCATTGTATATTCTGCCATGACCAAATCTTCTTCACCATTGTATATTCTGCCATGACCAAATCTTCTTCACCATTGTATATTCTGCTATGACCAAATCTTCACCATTTTCTATTCTGCCATGACCAAATCTTCTTCACCATTGTATATTCTGCCATGACCAAATCTTCACCATTGTATATTCTGCTATGACCAAATCTTCTTCACCATTGTATATTGCATTACTACCTCACTAGAGAAAATCTCCCCCTAAAGCCTGTCCATGTATTGATGCTACCTCTCTGAGTCTAAGACAGTAGGTTGCTCTGTATTCCACAGAAAATTAGAAATGATACAAATTCCTGCTGTTTAACCTGTTTTATATTAGGAGAACTTTATAAAATGATTGTGTGAACCCATATTTACCATCTTTCCTGTTTTTCAGTTTGAGATCAGACAACTGAGGGCACATCTCGCTCAGCAAGACCTGGATTTGGTTGCAGAGAGAGAACGAGCGTTAAAACTTCCACATGCCCTTCAGAACAAAAGCGACAGGTTCAAGGTAATGGCTAACAGGGATTCTGATGAGGATGCTACAGAGAATATCACAGAACTAGCACATGGTGAGTACATAACATACTAACTGATGCCTAGTAGCTGCAAAAGAATCATCAGATATACACAACTGATCTGCTGCTGAAAAATTTAGTTGACAGTATTTATATACGGAGGACAAAGATTTATTTATTTACTGCAGGTAGTTATATAGCGTCAACAATTTACATACGTTTGTAAACGTTCATATAAGTCCCTGCCCTTAAGGAGCTTACAATCTAAAGTCCCTATATTACATGCACACGCAAACATACTAGGGCCAGTTTAGACGGGGGCCAGTTAGCCTGCCATGCATGTCTTCGGTGTGTAGGAGGAAAGCCACGCTGGCACATGAAGAACATGCAAATAGTGTCCTGGCCATGTTTTGAACCGAGGACCCTGGTGCTGTAAGGCAGAAGTATTAACCAGTGGCGTCAGTTGACGGGTGCGGCCCGCACCGGGTGACACACCAATGACAGTGATTTTGGTGTCACCCCCTGAAAAGTTGGGCACTCGGTCATGGACTGAGAGCCCGACAGCTGCAGACGAGAGGAGAAGACCCGGCGGAATACCTTATCCTGCCAGATGAATGTTCCCTCCTCTCTGCCAGCATCCATCCCCAAAATGGCCGCCGGCAGTTAAGTGTGCATGTGACGCAAAAATAATGAAAGGCAGCTGCTGTTTTAAATGTTCATGGTATTTGTTATGTACAGGTGAAACTCGAATAATTAGAATATCGTGCAAAAGTAATTGCAGTAAGTGCTGCAAAAGGGGCCCAAACCAAGTACTGAGTACATATGCATGCTTGTACTTTTCAGAGGTCCGATATTGTTCTATGTACAATCCTTGTTTTATTGATTGCATGTAATAATCTACTTTTTTGAGGTTGTGGATTTGGGGTTCTTGGGGTTTTCATGAGCTGTAAGCCATAATCATCACAATTATGACAAATCACGGCTTGAATTATCTTGCTTTGCATGTAATGAGTCTATCTCATATATTAGTTTCAACTTTAAGTTGTATTAGTGAAATAAATGAACTTTGCACGATATTCTAATTATTCGAGTTTCACCTGTAGTACCAAAATCTTAATTCCTTTTTACTGATCACTAAACTTCACTCTGTGATCATTAATGACCTCCAATTTGGACCATATAGATTGACTATCGTAGTTGAGTGGTTCATTTAAAGATGTGATTGTACCAGTGCATCTTGTTGCCGCCTTCTACATTTTCTTCTTCGGTCTTTACCAACATAATGCATTTTCCAAGGAAATGAGATGTCTCCTGTTTTCCAAATCTGATTTTATTTCATGGTTGTTTTCTGGGTCTTAAGCAAAAGCCCAGGCCTGACTTATTTTGTCTCTTTGCTGTATGTGGTATTCATAAGACATGCTTCCAGTTCCTTTGTGTCCTGCTTCTTCAAGTTCCAGCTTTGACATCTATAAGATTAAAACAACATGTTCTCCTGAACCATGAACCATCGGAAGCTTTGTATGATCATATTCTCTAAACTAGTCATTGTAACTTTAAAAGGTACTAGACTTGTTCTCACTTCTTGATGACTGTAGCCCTTTTTCAGGGCCGGTGCTAGGATTCGTGCCTACACAGGCAAGGTGCATTTTTGTGCCCCCCTCCCCGACCCCCTGTAAATACAGGGCATTTTGACAAGTACTTGTCAAAATTCCCCGATGTTTGCGCTATGTTTTTTTTTTTCACTTACCTTCGGTGCGTGAGAGCAGCGGCGAGTCAGCGCTGGTCCGGTGGGAGGAGCTCCAGGTGGGGTCCTAATTTAGCTGGCCGGCGACTGCCTGAGGTGCCGCGCGTGTCAGGATCTTGCATGGAGCTCCAGACCGAGGGAGATAGATGGTTATTTTGTATTCCTTCAATTTGCGAATAGTCGCTCCAACAGTTGTTTCCTTCTCACCAAGCTTCTTGTAGCCCATTCCAGCCTTGTGCAGGTCTACAATCTTGCCCCCAACGTCCTTTGACAGCTCTTTGGTCTTGCCCATTGTGGTGAGGTTTGAATGGAAGAAAGAAATTCTATGGACAGGATTCTTGTATATACATAACGAGTTGTCGTTAGGAGAACCTTCTTAGATTGACAGGACTAATCTGTGTACCACATAGCCAGTCTGTGGGAGGAGGCAGAATTATTGTTGGTTGGTAGAGGATCAAATACTTATTATACTCACTGAACGGCAACTCAATTTATAACATTTGTATCTTGTGTTTTTTTCTGGATTTTGGTTGATATTCTGTTCTGATAGACCTTTCATTTCTTTGTAAGTGGGCAAACTTACAAAATCTGCAGGGGATCAAATCATTATTTTCCTCACTGCATATATATTTTATATAAATG